TAGACGAAGTGACAATATGCGGAAGGAGGATTAATATTGTGTCCCAAATTTGACAGTATTATGGAAAAAAATTCATAATAATAAAAATTGACGCATGGTCGACTGCATTTGAAGGAGTCATGATTCAGGATGATAGCAATGAAAAACAAAGACAATTGAGGTTTCAAAGTCGTATACTGAATTTGACCGAAATTAATTACTCATAATTTAAAAAGGAAGGGTGGACTATGCTTCATTGTTTAAGGATCTTTATACCTTTGTAGCACACTGAACATGTTCAGAACTTTTTCGAATGTTCGAACATGTTCGGGTGTTCAGCCGAACGCCTCCCGAACATGTTCGACCGAACATATTAAAAAAAAGAAAAGAAAACATAGGGTTTTGATTTTTAACTCGAGTCTGGTTATGAATTTGAGTATACGTCTAATGCATAAGTTCTTTGTATTTATCATTTTACATAACATATATATTTTTTCAGATTATTCTAAGAAGTTTTTTTTTCTTTTTTTTTTTATGTTTGCGCTCGGAGAGTTTTGGCGCTCGTTCGCGATCGGTCCCGAACGTTCGGGTTCGGTGACCGAACCCGAACACGATGCTACACAACTTTATACATTATCTCTTTGGAAGGAGATTCATATTAAGAATTGATCACACCACCCTCACGTATTCCTTGAAGAATTTCTCGCTATCTGAGTCCAGAATAACAAGGTAACTTGCTTACATTTGGATACTTTATTTTCAACGTGATGGCATCCCTGGAGACAAAAAGACAGCAAACAACTTGAGTAGGATTGAATGGGATAAGTCTTGAGGGAGGGAAAATAAATCGTCGTCCATAAATGAATTTTGAAACGAAGTGACAATATGCAGACCCATATTAATTGTTTGTTGATATTTATGAAAAATAATAAAATTAAGAGGGGAAATCCTATGTGGTTCGCACCAGCCGAATGCCTGAAGCAACTTGAATTGGTATTGATAGCGGTAATCGAGGAAGATCCGAAATGAGAGAAATTTGTAGTGGATGATGGAGTTGACCCTCGCGGATCATGATAAAAGATAAGAGTATCCAACGATCATTCAAATAAAGGTTGGCCTTGTAGATGAACACCTAATAGTATTAATGATGGGTGGTAGTGTCTTATGCTCGTTCACCGTTCACGGTTTCGGTGAACGGGGGCCGGCCAAAGAGTTGACGGAGAGCGAGATTGTTTTTTTTTTTTTTTTGGGGCTAGGGGTAGGGGTTATTTTTTTTTTTTTATAGGAGCGTAAGGTCTATGTAGAGTCGCAACAAAACTCATCATTGAATACTCATCATTGTAGCACACCACACGTAGCACGAATGTGAGGCACAAGTAGAATTCAACACTCAGTTAACCTTCAATTAAGAACCGCAAACCCCATAAACCGCCAAACATTCCACAGACCCACACTTAATCACAACGAAGGACGTGACGAACTGCCACCGAAAGAGGATTGCTACCGTACGACACATTGCTTAAGTACTATCCTGTTGGGTGCAGCATTGTTCTCGGTCCTTCCAGGATGGCACAAAAAAAGCGACTACTACAGCGAATCAGAAAACGACAAAAACAAAAAAAACAAAAAGCAACGTAACGACACAACTTGAACTCATCATTGGACCAGAGTTCGAAGTATCGAAATCACTTCTAACTTCACAAACTACTAATCTATCTATGAGAATCAAGTGAAAGGCTGTAACCCGGTTGTGTATCTAGGTAACAGCTAGTCACTATTGGAGCCAAAGTCAAAACCACCTTGAGTGAAGGCCTGGGCTCCAAAGTGCCTAAAAAAAGAAAGAAAGAAATCGTGAGTCAAAGCCAAATCAACAATCAGGCCCGGGTTCGAGGGGCCGTACAACCTACGTCCGGTTAAGCGGGGGTTCGAACCGGCAAATGAACCGGATACCAGCCAGCTAATGCAACCAGAAAGTAATCAACAGTCCAAAAAATCCAAAAAATCCAAAAACTCTGTCACTATATCGAATCCATGAGTAGCGAACCATCCGTTTCCTTGTCATCCACTTACCATGTCAACAACCAACTTCCAATAGGCATCACGTCCATGTGCAAAGCATTTCAATACTCGTACGAAAAAATATGTTGGGAAATCCTTCAACCTCGATTCTCGTTTCAAGGAAACAACTCTTCGAGGGATTTCATGCCTCGCTGAGGTGTTCTGGTCAATACGATGCAGATAACTTGCCCGGACGACGCTTTTCTGGGTCTTACTACCCCACGAAAAGTAAGATTGGTCGTTAAAGAAGGTAAGTTGCTCATCAGTCCACAGCGTCTCCTCATTCTTGGAGACCTGGACACACTTGACAAAAGGAGGTTGGTCATTGGTCCTCACAATACACCCCAAGAAATCCTAGACTCCAGATCCATTGTCCGTTCTCTTTAATGTGAGATTATCCAGATAGCATTTCCCGAATCTCTCGAATACCTCCTTCGCATTACTCGTCTTCAACTGTCCTGATGTGACAAAAAAACTCACATCATCAATGAGGCGAATCCCATACACCGCGTTATTCTGTTTACCCAGGCTGCAAAGAAACTTATATTCAGCCCGGGCGCACATAATACACGCTTGGGGTGGGGAGGTGCTCTTCCCCATCGGAATACCTATCTTTTGCTGGAGTAGAACACCCAGTGCATACGTATAAGTGTGCGAGAGTTCAAACCGAACAAATTCTCGGATCTCCACAAACTCCACTCTTCTCCAATGATCACACCCAGTTCTAACTCCAAAGCTAGAGCCCTTTCCCCTGGGATTAACGCGGACAAATTTCATCCCTTTACTCATATGGAAGTCCACGAGCCAGTCAACACCATCCAAAATCTCCTCATGAGGCAGGAGGCTAAACATGTCCTTAATGTCAAAAGACTGCGCCACCACACATGGCTCGGTGTTTGAACTCACCTTCTTGTTAATCGCTTCTGCCCGCTTTCTCAAGAGAGAGACAACTTTCAGGTTGAAATGTTAATCCTGGGGGAGCCAGTCAAGCATATGATTGAGGGCTCGTGCAATGACCTTACTCGTCTGTGTGGTAGGTTCTGAATACGAAGGGCAGATGGGTCGGAATCGATCCAAGTCCTTGTGTTTGGGCATCGCAAAGGCATGGCCAATGGACCCCTTCTTGTCCCATCGGGCAAAATTCGCAATCCCGCTCCATATCAAAGATGATTCCAGATCGGACAAAATTATCTTCTCAGATTTCGACGACGGTACAGAACCAATACTGCGAACAAACAAAGACATCATGCCTTCGTAATATAGTAACGAACAAAGCACCAGGGTCTCCCCTGGATTCCTGTCCAAGAGAGTAAGGACTAGCCCTCTGAACCTTTCTTTGACTTCCATGACCAAGCTCAAATCCAAGAACCAGCGATCCCCACGTATCTCAGCCTCCATCATACAGCGATGCAACTCAGCTGCGGTGCAAGTGACAATAGACTCGGACCCTTTCCCATTCACCCAGTTAGCAAAGCTTACTGAAATTTCCTGGCCCAATTTCCACACCCTATTACAGTGACTAGCCTTAGGAATGTTGTTTGCATTCATCAACAGAGGTGAGATGTTCTCCACTTCCCGCAATTGTACTCGCACGTGGCCTCGTACCCTTGGGTACGGCAAATCTGCGCAAGCGGAGGGTAACACATCCGCTCGGACAAACACCCGATGGTTGTGAATCAAATCTGCGACACTTGGATTGCGAGTCCAAATGATGCGAAGTGATCGTCGTGCACGTCTGACCACGCAAGGTGGGAGAGACAACTCGCTCAACTTATCGTTCATCAACTTCCTAACAGCCGCCAACTTGATACTATCATCAAAAACCAAATGAATGATGATACGGGCACATAAATTAAACCCAGATCCATCTTTGGCAATTCGACCAATTAGCCTTCTCAAATACGCACGAGTGCTTGACTTTTTAAATTCCTTCACAGTATTAAGCAGGCTCGACAAAGAGTCCAAATCCCATATTCGAAGCATGTTCAGACGTTGCGGGTTACGTAAGATTGATATCAACAGTGGTTTGTTGACACTCCTGCGTGCGGTCCAACGTCTTAAATATCGAAAGACAATTAGCCCATTTGTTACAAACGCCCTTTTGAATTGCCTGAGACAGACAGTCCCTCCGTCATAAGTCATGATGAAAGTCCCAAACGCTTTACGAATCCCATTCCAACGCTCACACCAAGTACATCCACCCTCAATCAACAAACTAAATGAGTGGTTCCATCATCATACTGCTTGCACAAGATCTTATAAATCCCTACTGACCAAACGTCGTCCCTATTAACCCGCACACGGATTGGATTAATGGAACGTTCGTTACCCTGTTTACCACCCGCCTTCTTAGTCTGTCTTGCACGTTCCTTCTTACCCCTCCGACCATTCTTAGATGGGCGCGGAGTAATCCCTGCAGTGTTAAAAAAAGGGCTCCACTGTCGGATATAAACAAACTCGATGGTAACCAAATCCTCAATCTCAAAAATTTCCACAGGCAACTGGCAATACGATTCGACGATTCGTGACCAAAACATTTCCACCATCTATACAAGTGTGACTTCTTGGCGTTTCTCCTACATACAGACAAATACTCTTTCCACCTAATAACTGGTAACCGAGATGTCTGCCCAACATTTTGTGACTTACACTTGGTAGAGGTTACCACATACACACACCCTGGCTGCTTAAGAAAATCCAAACCGAAACGTCGAAACAGTTTAATCCATGAGTCAACACACTTAAAGAGTCAACGAAGGCGTTCGCGCAAAGCAAGCAATCGAGTCAATAGGCAAAAAATCTCATCAAGGGTCTCGTCAAAATTCTGTCGAAAGCACTCGATAACATGAAAAATCAATACCCATTGGGTCATCATTAACCCAATTCAGGGTCGAACACCATCATCGGTTTCATCGTTACCCGAATGTCCCGCTTCATCTTCCACGTTATCGAAGCTACCGAAATCCGGTATAGCTTCACCAAAATGTACCTACGCACGCGGATACGCGACATCAAATATCGCTTGCACCTTCGTAGCATAGTTAACCCCCTCATCGCGACAAATAGCGCGCAGAGTATCATAGTCCAATTTGGAGAGTTCTCTCTGAGTATTGTCGAGAAACAACATCCGTTCCATCATAGTGTCTCTAGCAGGTGGCTTCAGGGCAGTGAGTGCTTTAGTGGCTTCACATCTTGCTGGCCGACGGACAGAGATCTTAGTCCGAGTACGTTGTAGGCACTCCGATAAGCGCACCGGGCGAATGCTTGATCGCTTACTAGTACGTTTCGCCAGAATGGTCACGGGTGGGCTATCGCCAACTGGTACGTCGTCGCCTCGCTTGCGCTTCTCCTGGAGCGAGAGATTACCGGTACCCTCTGTGATGACTTCAACTTCGCTCGATGTTCCGGAAGTCGACGAAAGGTCCTCGATCGTAACGACTTTCTCCTTGCCTTTAGTGGTCGCAATCTCGGTCAATTGTTGTTTAACCAAGGAACTGGATAACGCCTTACGAACCTCCGTCTTTATCTCCTCCCGGATATCCCCCAAGCGCACGGAAAGCTGCACTTCCACTGCTTTGGCCATAGCCAACTGCTCCTCTTCACGCTTGCGGAGCTTTTCGGCCTTACGTACCGCACGCTCGACTTCAGCCGCACGCGCCGCCTCTTCGACCAACCTAGCTTCATCACGCTCTCGGCCACGTTGCTCTCTCTCAACCCTTCTAGCGCGTTCCATCTCAACGAATTCTTGTACGGAAGCCACCGTACGTCCAAGCTCCTCCAAGCGATTCTGTGTTGCCGCATCAACCGCAAGTGGTGGTTGTGCTCGGTCCTTAGGAGGTGATGGAGCGCCAGTCCTACGATTGAATTCGGCCGGACACACGTACCCATCCGCTTCCATCTGGCGTCGAGCAACTGGATCAGTCCAGTACCTCCAGCACTCCGTACGGTAGTGCCCCACCACTCTGCAGCCGTAGCAAGTCGGCGGTCCACGACGCACCGCATCCTCCCTGCGATCTTCCCGACTATTGCTCCTTGCAGGTCCTGCCTCTCACGACTGCTGTCTTGGGCACGATGGTCCCGACGACCCCGGTCTGGTGAAGCATGACGCCTTCCGTCCCGGTTGTCATCTCGGTGATGACCTCCCGCCATGCTCAAAGACCTTAACGAGTCAACGTCCGCAATCTCGGTAGTACCGATAGTAACAACACATCCAGAAATCGTGCTCCACAGTTAATCACGACGAAGGCCGTGACGAACTGCCTCCGAAAGAGGATTGCTACAATACGACACATTGCTTAAGTACTATCCTGTTGGGTGCAGCACTATTCTCGGTCCTTCCAGGATGGCACAGAAAAAAACAAAAAGCAATGTAATGACAAAACTCATCATTGGACCAGAGTTCGAAGTATCGAAATCACTTCTAACTTCACGAACTACTAACTTGTCTATGAGAATCAAGTGAAAGGCTATAACCCGGTTCTGTACCTAGGTAACAGCTAATCATTATTGGAGCCAAAGTCAAAACCACCCTGAGTGAAGGCCTGGGCTCCGAAGGACCTCAAAAAAGAAAGAAAGAAATCGTGAGCCAAAGCCAAATCAACAATCAGGCTCGGGCTCGAGGGGCCGTACAACCTACGTCCGGTTAACCGGGGGTTCGAACCGGCAAATGAACCGGATACCAGCCAGCTAACGCAACTAGAGCGTAAGGTTCATCAAAGGGTAACTCCCCATAATTTTGTCAATTTTTTTACCGTTTTTTTTTTAATTAAAAAAAAAAACGCAACCATCCAAAATGAACATTTTTGTTTGTTGTTTTGTAGGGTATTTTATTTTCTTTATATTTTCTTAATGTCATCACGTTGTGGGGCTTGAGGCGAACTTGAATATACCTGAGTTAACCCCCCCCTAAAGAAGGGGAAAAAAAAAACACCGTCCTTTCGTGGTTTAATCGTTCACAGGTACATAGCCAAATGATCGGCCGGTTACGTTAAGTCACAGGTGCCGGTCACATTCATGGTGACGACACTGATGGGTGATATTCATTATTTATCGAAAAACTTTCTTAATATGCCAATGCGGGTCAAGGAAAGAGGGGTCAGCATAAAGGCGGACGAGATAAGTTAGGGAGATAATTACAAATTTTTCGAGGAGGAAAATTTGAGCGAGGTGAAATCTCAGAAGCCTTTGGAGAAGAGGATTATGACGGATTCTATTTCAAAATGAGTTTGGTACTCTTAGACGATAAAAAAAACACGACGTTGGATAAATTATTTTGATAATGAGGGATCACTTTGTGGTAAAGAATGATCATTTGTTTGTCAGGGACAAGCGAGGGTCTCCAGAAGAATGGTATGGAGAAAAAATATTGGACAGATCAATGTGATTGTTGCACTTCACGACGAACCTGTAGAGGGACACTGAGGATTTGAGGGAACCTAAAACAAATCACTAACATTTACTACCAGGACAAAATGTACGAGATGATTCGCAAATAATGCGAATTAAATGTGTCTTGCCAAATAAGGTGCCTACTTAGATACAAATAACCCTTGCATCTCAAATATATTAAAGATGTGGGATTTGTGGTTCACCTTGATCTATTAACTATGCCACAAGCATTCAGTTAATTAATTATATATTTTTAATGTACGAAATAACTTCTTAGGATTTGTGGATGGAAAGGCGATCAAGGCCAAGACAAGTATAATCTTGACAAAATGCATCAAAATTTAGTACTATCTTTGGTATCCTTTTTTGATGGAATTATCGATGGATAGAGGAACAAAATTTACCTGTGGAGAAGCGAGAGAGATGGTGGATGAACTTTATATTATTGTCAACTACATTACTAACGCTCACCCACAGGTCAATGATCCAGTAGAGAGAGGGCATAATAATATTACTAATCTACTACTATCTAAGTTGACTGATGAGAAACCTCATTTATGACCCAAATTTATGAGAACGACTTTCTTTGTCGATAACATTACGGCGAGAATAAATACAAGGTATGAACCAACTAGATTATGGTTTGGAAGGCCTGCTATTTTCCCATTGAAAATTTTTTGAAGACATGGAGGCGACAAGACCTAAAGAATATAACCTATCTCTTGAGGAACTCTTGATTATCAGAGCATGATGTATCAGTACAAAATAGAAAAGAATTATAGAAGCAACTGATAAAGTCGCGGACAACCATGGAAAATACCAGGACATATGAAATTGACTCCCAGAGTAAGAACTGAATGACTAAAGATAGGAGGCGAAGTATTTTTGTATGAAATTTTCCGGGAAAAAAAATAGTCGAGAAAGTTGGCCAAGAGATGGAAGAGACTTTTCAGAATAAGGAAACAAATACATAATGGGGCTCGTGTGTTGAAAGAAATTGATAAGGAAGTTCACATCACGATCAGAGGTAAGCTCAAAAGGGTATGACACATTTTAATGGTAGCATAATCCGCATTCATGCATTGCTTGCATTTTCAACTTGAACATTATCTGGATTCCCAACATCATTGACATCATCGACATTATCAGCGACCTCTGCACCTTTCACACAATGGTGTTTTCAACATTATCTGCTTTATCTTGAAATGCATCAATTTTTTCAAAAGTTCTGATTGCTGAAAGAGGTACGTTTAACTTCGGCTTAAGAAGCGGAAATTGTAATTCAAAACTCTAACAAATATTTATCTTCCCTATCATTTTTTGCCCCTTCTGCTCATAGAATTTGAAGGATGGCACAAAAGAGAGGGATGGTTAGACCTGCGATGTTTACCCTAAGTATAGGGAAGAGGAAAGATATGCAACCATCGTAAGAGGATACTAAGTCTGTTATCGCTTATGATAGAGGAAATGTTCAACCCTCGTTTGACAAATTCGACGAGCACGCATTGAGAAGAGATTAGGATGATTCCATTTGATTGGACGAGGTGAGAAAGAATAAGAGAAAAGTGAAAAAGATGGTTATTGAATGCAATTCCTGCGTAGCATTGTGGTTGCGCTTGGTGACTGAACCTGAACGTTCACTACCGAACGAGAACGAGCGTCAAAACCCCCTGAATGGGAGCATTAAAAAAAAAAAATTATTAGAAAAATATGAAAAAATATATGTTATCTCATGGTAGCCGGCGTTTGGACAGGGTTGAACGTTAGAACGTTATAGCCCCCCTGTACACGCATTCAAACGTTCAGGCCAAACGCAAAAAAAAAAAAAAAAAAAAAAAAAAAAAAAAAAAAAAAAAAAAAAA